AACACAACACCAGGACTGCTTTTACTGATCGCCATTACTTCTATGCATCTAGAGCATTACAATTAAATATTGTGCATTTTTCTTCTATGAAAGTGTTACAATGTTTCAGTGCACACACACGCTGAAGTCACCGGCCCATATAGGTCAACACTCTGCTTAGTGGCACATTTCACAATGGAGATTTTGGCATTAATACCCTGGTGTCCTTGAGCTCGCTAATGCCTGCACTCGTATTGCATAAGAGACGTGTAGCAATTGAATATAATGTGATTTATGCAGCATTCAGATTTTACAGTGTACTTTACCTTGCAACCTAAAGTTTTTATAAGAGTAGTCATGTACCAAACATTAGTTTGTTGATACATTACTGCACAGACGTGAGTTATGTAATAACCAGCCTGATAAGCCGCACTGGCTTAGCTACTGACTTGTGTAAAGGATGGAAAGATTTCCTCTTTCTTACCTCCAGACTCCAGGGCATAGTCCACCTGGCCTGTCCGATCCTGGGAGTAGAGCTTCAGAGCATTCTGCACAATCAGCTTCACTTGCTAATAAGAAGCAGAGATAAAAATGACATGTGAGCCTAAAAAAACAAAACAAAAAACCATTGCAAAGTAATAGTCTTCAAGACTGAACTCAACTAGGATTATGTAAATGCAACTGATGATGCTGATGGTAAGTGTGCACACATTACCTCTTCTGTCAGTCCCTCGGCAGCAGAAGCGTGCCGGACAGTTCCGGTTACTGTCTGAACAATGCTCTTGGCTCTGGACTCAGCCTCAACCACTGTCTGGGTCCGGCTGACCTCCAGCTGCTGGGATATGTTTCTCAGGATGCTAAGCTCCAGTGAGGCCAGAGAAGCCTGCAGGTCAGGGGTGCTCACGTAGCGCTGGGATAGCCAGTGGATCAGAGACTCGGGCACCTCGCCCTGCTCCTCTCCGGAAGCACCAACACCAAAGAACAGAGCCTGCAACTCCTTACGCAGCTGAGAGGACACCTGGGCTGATATCTGGGAGCGGGACGGGGACAATTTTAAAAAACTCATACAAGAGGATTCACAGAACAGGCAGGCTAAGCTTTTATTGTCTTACAAAGCCAAACAAAAGTCAATATTTGACTTACAGTGTCTTGCAGCGTGTCCAGCTGCTCACACCTGCCCTTGCATCCTGCAACGCCCTGCAGGTCCTGTCTGATTTTACTCAGCTCTACCTCAAGTCTCTGTACTTCTGTTAGCAGAGCGTCATGGTCTTCCTGCTTCACGCCCACACTGATCGGGAGACAGAAACTTAAAATGTAAACAGCACAAACAACAAAATAAAGGGAAAAAAAGTGGACTGTAAGGTTTATTTATTCTCCTTTTTTTTCTTGTACCTCACAGGAGCCGTGTCTGCAGCTGAAGTGACAGCTTCTTTCTCTGTTTTCTTCTTCTCATGTTCATACTGCTGCTGCTTCTGCTGCACCTCCTGCCGCACACATATAAAACAGTTATAGAAGCAGTGAAGAAAATATAAAAACAGGAGGATTCGGTTTCCATATTTAAAAAACTGCAAGTGACAAGATACATACTGGATACTATTTTTTCAAGGAGGACATGTGATTTTGTCCTGTTGGCTTTCACAGTGAGAAAGTGCAAGTTTAAATATTTCACGTTGCACCACTGTTCCCTTTATACAGACTTAACACCAGGGCTGCATTCTTACCAGCTTGGCTGTCTAACCCATTTTTCCAACACTATACAAATATAGTATTTTAACTGTTTGTCACTTAGTGTTTAATGCTCTTTTATAAGTTCTCAGTGGCAAAGCAGCAAACCTGCAGTACATACCTCAGTCTTGGCAGACAGAGCTTTGAGCAGTAACTCTAAATCAGCCAGTCGTGCTGCCTGACTCTCTTGCTGTTGTTTTTGCAGCTCTGCACCCTGCAAAAAAATAAAATAAGAAAATGTAACTCTTGTAGCTTTGTTCTTGATCTTTCAGCACTAACTTGCATTTTTGGCACTGTGTCATCCACCTACCTGCGCTCTCTGTGTGTTCTCCTGCTCCAGCTCTCCTCGCAGCACACCGATTCTCTGGTCCAGCAAGGAGGCCACCCACAGTCCTAGGCTGTCCCTGTCAGTCTGCGTATGGAGCTGCTCCCTCAGGGTGCTGTAGAGACCCAAAATGTTATCATGGCGCTGCTCCTGCTTCTGGTCACCCTGCTGGACTCGCTCCCAAAGAAGGGCTAGCTGGCGCTCGACGCGTTCAAGACGCTCCATGTCCACACTGGAGACTGCCACAGGGGG